CAGCAAAAGGTGGTAATGACTGACTGAGGACAGGCGGCTTTTAAAGGAGCTGGTGATGTGTATTTCTCAACCTCATGTCTGCTTCCACATATGAGCCAAAGGCCTCTGGGAAGACGGTCCTCAGAAGTGAGACACAATGAATGGAATCACAGAGCCCATGACTCAAGCCTCCCCACATACTAGCTGAATGTCTCAGCAACTGTCTTAATGTCTACGTGTCTCAATTTCCTTATCTGTAAAGAAAACTGCCAATATCTATTTCACGAAGTGTGAAGATTAATGCACTGGAAGCACTTAGCACAAATAATGGAATATCTATATAACACAATGCTACTGTAGCCTTATAAATGATGCATGAGTGTGCTTACTGGCACTAGCACAGAGAGATACTTGCAATATATGAAGTGAGCCAGGTGCACACAAAATATGGAAAAATGGCTCAGAAAGACAGCAATGATTATTTCTGACTGCTGAGCTTATAGATATTTCATTAATGTTTTTAACTTGCATTTTCTAACTTTTCTATCATGAACATGAATTGTATAAAGAAAGCTAAGCTTTTTCTAAAAAAGGCAAGCACCTGATAAATGTCCAGTAATTATGATGTGACTTTCTAGAGCCACAGAGAAAAGAGCCAGGAGTTGCCTGCCCTGCAAGGCCTGGCTGGTGTACTCCCATGGAAAGAGACACTTACAGCATAGATGTGTACAGCATTTCTGGTCATTAAAAACAAAAAAAAAATTTTTTTTTGAGACAGGGTTCACTGTGTAGTTCAAACTGGTCCTGAACTCACTATGTAGTCCAAGCTGGCTTCAAACTCACAATGATCCTACTGCCTCAGCCTGCCAAATGCTGGGATTACAGGCATAGGCCATCACATCCGGCTTAGTCACTAAATCTAAAATCTATCCACTCACCTCTGTCCTACAGAGCTCTCAGCCTTGGGCTCATTTAAACTCAGGCAAACAGAGCTCCATGCTCTGTCCAGCTTTGATGATCAGGAAACTTGAATTAGGATCGAGAAGCTACAGCCTCAGAGGAATAAAACAAGCATTTGTAAACTTCATTTTCTGACCAATTACCTTTGCCCGGAACAAAAGCAGCCAGGCCAGGATCAGGTGTGGAATCTCGTATCCCTGCCTGTCCTCCCTCTCGTCCCCACACTCCTACATATCCTTTAACACAGCTTTCAGAAAGAAGGCTCCAAGTGTACCACCAAGCTGTTAAACCTGGTTCATTTCTAGAAACAGGAAAAGTAGAGGCGAGTCTGGTGTGGAATCAGAAGTGGAAGACAAATTCCAGGAGTAAAAATTCTGCAACAAGTTCATCCGAAGGCACTGGCATCACAGCCAAGTGAAAATGTGGGACTAGAACTTGGAAAACGATACTCTCAGTCAGCTTCTCACTTACAGGAAATCAAGTAAGCCCTGGAGAAGGGATTTAAATAAGAAATAAGGACAGAGAGGGAATTAATAAAAAAGATGCCACAGAAAGACTGGTGAGCTGTGCAGGTACATCAGCCTCTGAGTCAGTTCACAACAGTCCTACGAGATTTGCTTTGTGGTCAGAGTAGGGTTAAGTGCAGGGCATGGGACCAAGCTCAAAGAGAAAATGTTACATTTGGCCAGTGCTGCTGTCCCAAGGCAGTCACCTTGTCACCTGGCTGTTTACAGTACCAATTCAAGAAAAACAGGTTTTGCATTTCACTCACCACAGGGTAAAAAAAAAAAAGTGTACCCTAAGAAAAAACAAAAGGAAATATTTCCTGGAATTACCCACTTCACACTAGGACCTCTGCTGAAAGCAAAGACTACCTACATAAGCACCTGCCGAAGGCAGTAATGGAGAAAGACACCCAGGTACAGAAAAGCTTTGAGTGTGAACCAGGAACAGAATGACCCAACAGGGCAGTAACTTCAAAACACTGACAAAGGTTTAAACGTACACAGAGCAAAGAGATGTGAAGACACCACACAAATAATCAGCTAGACAGAATTACATATGAGCAAAAGCTTCAAAAATATCATCAAATGGAAGGGAAAGAGCAATGTACACTGCAATCGACCTGCTCCTGCATGCATATATGTAAATGAAAAAGGACTGGAGGCACACACACCACATTTGAGCAATGGTTGCTTTTGGCAGAAAAACATCTGAGTGGGACCAGGGAAGAGGCACAGTTCTCTACTCTGTATTTGGTCTTTGGCATTGTTTCTTTTATGTTTTTTAAGACAATGCACTCAGATCACTCATATGATTTTTAAAATATAATATTTTCACAACCAATAAAAGATAAAGAAACATTTGAGTATATTTCATTGTCTTTCTATAGATTTTAAACAGAAAAAAATCTAAGTTTTCACAATTAAAAAAAAAAGCTTTTTTTTTTTAAAGCCAGGCGTGGTAGCATGCATCTATAATTCCAGTATGTGAGAGACAGAGGCAGGAGGATCTCTGTACATTCTAAGTCCAATAAGGGATACACAGTGAGTTCAAGGCCAGCTTGAACTATATAACAAGACCCTATCTCAAAAATTAAATAAATAAATAACAGGAAAAACAATTAAATAAAATTTTTCTGCAGTGAAAAAGAGAAAAGATACAGTAAAAGAAAAGAGAGTACATGTTCATCTAAACTCTTCTTAATACCACCCATAAACATACTTCCATCTACTAAAACTTCTGGCCCTGCCACAGCCTTCTTGGTGCAGCAGGAGAGCGAGAGCCCAGGCACTAAGAATGAGGAGGCCTCACTACCCTGGATGGGGACACCCCCAGGCCTCAGTCACACAGCCTGCCAGCCCAGTGTACAACACAAATGCTGTTGATGGAATAATGAATGAAGAACACCACCAGGAGAGTAAATGGTCCAACAGCCAGTTATGCAGCTACTTCACAAGCAGATCGATTGCAGTCAGAACCTGAAAGTATCTGTGAATGGAGAGAAGAGCAGCTGAACATTTGGAAGCCCCTGGATGCCAATGCTCAGGAGAAAGAAGCAGAGTGGAAAGCAAGCAGTAAGGAAGACAAGCGTTAAGCAAGGCAGGACGGGCAGCTACCAAAAACAAAAGCAAGGAAAAAAAAAAAAAAAGCAAGCAGCAGGGCAGCAGGGCAGCCTTTGTAATGGCATTGATGAGACTTTCCAGGCACACAGTGGGAATGGGCAGGGTGGCCAGCACGTAGCAAGCAGGACAAGGATGCTTGGTACTCATCTCCCTCAAGCAGGCCCCGCTGGTGCATGGAAGAGCCAGCCAGCCACCCCAGGAAACACTGTATCTGCAGTATCTTAATCCTACTCAGTAAAGCTGTTCACAGTAACTAGATTAATTATGCTGAGCTCCTTTGGACCCAACCTTTTGTCTTTAGAGTTGATCATTGTTTGTGATTGTATGTTTCCTTCAGCAGTGTTCTTCCTGAATTCAGAGAAGGGGAGGAGGAAGAAGAAGGGAGGAAGCCTCCAACAGTAGCCTTAACCTGGACTTCTGTGCATTATTCTGAAAATAAATTTGTTTCAAACAAAAAAAGTTCTGAATCTATCTCTAAATGCTTCTTCATTATGTGGGCTGTGGTAAGGGAAATACAAGAAACAGAACACTAAAACTTTTTTTTAATTACAAGAAATATAACACTAAAACTTTTTTTTAATTATAAAATACCAAGCAACAATGTGAATTTTCTTTTTAATAAAATAGATAATGCAGACAAGTGCTTTACAACTCAGAGACAATTCTGCTCCCCTGAGACTGACAGCGTCTGGAGGCTATTTTGGCTGTTAAATGGGTGTGTGTCCCTGTGTGTGTATGCATACACGCTAACAGCATCCAGGTGCTCAACAAAGTATGATTCTGCCCAAAATGTTAGTACATTGGGGCTGGGGATTTAGCTCAGCGGCATAAGCGCCTGCCTTGGAAGCAGGCAGTCGTGAGTTCGATCCCCGGTACCGATAAAAGGAAAAAGACAAAAAAAAAAAAAAACCAAAATGTTAGTACATGCTGAAGACAAGCCTAAAGTTTTACTTCAAATACTCAAAAACTAATGCTCAGTACAACAATATAGGCCAGACAGTATAGCTCAGGAGTAGAGCACAAGGATCTGAGCTCAATCCTCAGCAGCACAAAAAGAGAAAGAATTAAAGTTATTCTTGTATAAATGCAATTATGTAAAGACCAGGGTTGCAAAATACAAATATAGACTTTACAGTATTAGAAATTCAAGTTAAAGTCTTGGTTACCAGTTCTGTAACCTTAAATAACTTACTCAAGCTTTGTGATTCAGTTTTCTCATCTGCAAAACTATAACTAACAGACTTTTAGGAATGCTGTGAAAGTTAATTAACTCTCAGAACTATGCTCACTACCTCCCTAATACACAGCAGAGAATCAATAAATATCATTTCTAGTCCTGTTACCCCTTTATCCTCACACTATTAGACCTAATTAGGCCAAACTATAACCAGGGTCTCACCAAAGACATTTAGGCTGCTATGGTGATTCATAAATCTTAAGAGCAATATGATATGAACATGCTAAACAGCATGACAGAAAATATACGAAAGTATGGATATTAAATGCTTTATTTAAAATACTTCAATAATTTCTCCTTCATTATAAGAATTTTAATCTTATATAATCCTTTTTATTCTTGATGAGTGTGGTAGTACACACTTATAATCCTAGCTCTTGGGAGGCTGATGCAGGAGGATTGCTGCGGAGTCAAGGCTAGCCTGGGCTACGTAGTGAGTTCAAGGCAAGCCTCAATTATATAGAAAGATCCTGTCTCAAAAACCAAAATAATAATAGTTGTTGTTGGTGGTGGCATTATTATTATTATCATTATTATTTTACTGGGTCCACTATTTCCAAAAATGATACACCCATATTTGTAATAATGGTGACTGGGGTTGTACAAAGGGAGACTGAAAGCAAAGCAGAAGTCGTGGAGGTAGGACCCCAATTCTGCAAGACCACTTAACCCCGGCATCATAAAACAAAGCAACCTACTTTGGTGGTGATCCTATAGGTGATGTAGGTCTCCATTGTACAGACATGCTTCTTGGGGTCATCAACCGTGACAAAGAGATCTCGAGTCTCACCATCAATGTCATCGTCAAGCTGAAGTCTATTCAGAAGGGACGATGAGGAGGCTGGGCTGGAAGCACCTGCCGGAGTGCCACCGTTGGGCAAAATGAGATCCTAAAGAAAGAAAAAAAATTACCTTTTCAGTTCAGTGAAAACACACAATGGAGAACTTCAGTAAAAGTAGCTGGGTTAGCCAAACCAAAACACACCTCTAAAACACAAAAGTATTTTTGAAATATCTGAGCCTCTCCACACTCAAAGTTCCTTGAGCAAACAGATCTTTTAAGACCAAGAGAAATAAATGGCCTCACAAGTACAAGGTCCTGAGTTTGATTCCCAGTAGAAAGAAAGAAAGAAAGAAAGAAAGAAAGAAAGAAAGAAAGAAAGAAAGAAGAAAGAAAGAAAAGAAAGAAAGAGAGAGAGAGAGAGAGAGAGAGAGAGAGAGAGAGAGAGAGAAAGAAAGAAAGAAAGAAAGAAAGAAAGAAAGAAAGAAAGAAAGAAAGAAGAAAAGTGATGGCAGCATCCTAAGACCAAGTTCATGCCGATTTACCTCCCAGCAACACTGGTTGCAGTGAACCGCCTACAGTTAAACTTCAACAGAGAAAGAACTGTGTGAGCAGACCAAATCCAACCCTCTTTTGCCCTTTCTAAAGACCACCGCCTGGGCCAAGGTAAATATTAAAAGGCCTGAGCTCAGTTAAGCACTGGACATTTTAACAACTCAGTCATCACAAAGAAACAACTAAAACTTATGTGCCTCAAGAAAGAAGTTCACCTTGCCACTTAAGGACTGTGCTTGCCAAAAAAATAAATAATGTATCTGAACCCTGAACTAGTCTCTGCACACAACACCAATTTACAGGAAAGACAGTGGAAGGAGAAACACAGTAAATAATACTCTGGGGATACAAGTAGCAAAACTCATACTATGTGAAGCGAAAGAGAATCAAGACCCAGATTCTTCAACAAACACATTCCAAGAGGAGGAAAAAAGGGACATGGAAGCAGCACCTAAACATAAAACTAAAAAGAACTATTACCAAATACAATAAAATGAAACATAAAAAGTAAAAGATATACAGGATTCAGGGAAATCTGAACACTGACCAGTTGTATTTTTAATATTCACCAATTGTATTTTGGTATTATTAAGTATTATGAAGTCACTAAGTGTGATAACAAAAGCATTTCAAAGACTTCTTTTAGAAATATATAATAAAATATTTATGGATGCCTGATTCATCTGTACATGTGTGTGTGCCTGTGCACGTGTGCATGTGTGCCTGTGCACGTGTGCGTGTGTATGAGTGTGTAAATGTGCGTGGGTTTGGTATAATTATCTGGTGTCTCTCCCCAGGCCTGGAAGTGATTAAACCAACCCCTCTAACCTTTGCCATGGATGGGGACCTTTCAGGAACAGCCTACTAAGGTCTGAAATGCGTGGCCAGACAGAACGGAGGAAAGAGTCAATCATATCATTGTCATGTGCTCCAGATTCCTCCTGGGCCCACACAACCAGGGAAAGCACCCCCCCCCCAGCCCTCATCCCAGGGTGCCCTGGGAATGGAACATACAGAAATAGCCAAGGATCTACAAAGGCCTGTCATCTCCCAAGCAGCACAGCTGCCTCCTGGGACTCCCAGGGCACATCTCATTCTGATGGCACTGTACTCTATGATGGCCTCTTGAAAAGCAGGACCAGCATCACCTCCACCATGAAGACTCAAAAAGACTACATTGTGAGGTGTGGTGGTGCACGCCTAAAATCCCAGTATGTGGGAGACTGAGGCAGGAGGATCACCATTGAGTTCAAAGCCAGCCTGTCTCAAAAAATGGTAAAAACAAAGTCACTTGCACAGAAGTATACTGTCAGTATTTGCTGCACCAAAGGCTGATCAGGTTTCTGGTTCTTAACATTTCTTACAGCTGAATCCCCTCCACTGGGGCTTCACATCCTTACCACTGCCCTGATCACAAACCCTTCTGGGGAGGCACAAAGCTTCTGTTTCGTTTTTCATACATGCTTGTCATACATAATAAACACTTCATCCGGGGAACTGGAACATACACACAGCACACCTAGATCCTTCCTCCTTTCCCGTCTCCCCCTTCCATGATGCTTCTGCTTTTAAAGGCAATCAAGGAGAAACAACATTTTTCCTTGAGGGTTTATACTAGTTTATCCCCAAATGACTCAAGACATGTCCTCATGAAAAATAAAAGCGAAGGAGAACCATGAAAATCTTGGGGACACAGGTTAGGTGACCTGAATGACCTGGTTTCTCAGCCCACAAGAGGCCTCCTGGGGCGAGCATGGCAGCACCGAGCGGGCAGGTGCTGTGAGGTGGTGACCCTCTAGGACAAACATGAGTTCTTGAACCAAGGAGTGAGGGGATCCCTGAGTGCAAGCCAAGGCCTTCTGCCTTATGTTGGCTACTCTACAGTCACTTCTCCACACCACAGCTGGCATGCTGTTCTAAAAATATAAATAAAGAGCTGGGGATTTAGCTCAGCGGCGTAAGCGCCTGCCTAGCACACAAGGTCATGAGTTCGATTCCCGGTACCAAAAAAAAAAAAAGTATATATATAATAAAAATATGCTGGGCTCCTCTTGAAACTCTCACATATTCCATAATATTCAGAAGAAAAGTCCAAACTCCCTCTCACAGCCCACAAGTGCTGACAAAATTGGCACTTGCCTTTTTCTACTCAAGATACAATGGCCTTCCCACTGCCCTGGCTCATCCTGACTTCAGAGCCTTTGTACCTGCTGCTTGCTCTACCTAGAACATGCCTCGTCCCCAGCGTCCAAGATGGTCCAGCTCTTTTCAAGTAAGTGTCTGCTCAAACACCACCTAATGGGGTTTTCTCAGACCATGAAATCTAGAAGTAGTCCTTTACCCCTTCAGTATTCTCTAGCCCCTTCCCTGGATTTATTTTCTTTACAAGACCTTCCACTACTTGAAAATTTACTATGCTTTGATTGTCCAACTCCCTACTAATCTATGAATCCCATAAACCAGAAACTGTGCTACCCCTAGCAGACAGTAGATACTCAAAAGTATTTGATGAACAAACAAATGAACAAATGAATTTTAGAAATGACTCAACTCAATCCCTTATCAACAAAAGGTACTCAACAAATGTCTGTGAAAACCAACATAACTAAGGCTAACCTGAGACACACTGCCTGGTCTTTAACCACAATGACACTATTCACTAACAGTGTGAGTTAAGCATGAGTCTTCATCTCTCTGAGCCCAGATGCCTCACTTGTGAATTGCTATAATGACATAAGTTAGTATACAGAAGTAAATGGAACGGGATACATAAGCAGCAGAAACATCGTCAGGTGCTATGTTACTATTTACACACATTATAAAAAATGAAGATGTGTCTGCTAAATATTTTTGCATTTTCTTATAAACTCTAAGCCTGGGTTCACAGTACACAATAAATGCTGCTGAAAACAAAAATTGCATTAGAGTCATAGTTGGTGTTTTAATGTTTAGTTAATGATTGTATTGTAGAACAGGCCTTGTGGAGAGAATTTACACAGTTAATAAATAAATGAAACTAAGCCAGGCATGATGGCACACACCTGTAATTCCCAGCATTCGGGAGGCTGAGGCAGGAAGATCTCCATGAGTTCAAGACCACTCTTGGCTACACAGTGAGTTCAAAGTCAGCATGGACCATACAGTGAGACCCTGACTCAAAAAAAAGAAAGGAAAAAAAAAAGAAAAGATCTATTGCTACCGAATGCTCATTCTCAGCAGCTACAACAGTACTCCTTCCCCTGCCTGCTTTTTTACCCCAGGAAGACAGACACAGAGCTGGGTTGCTTTTAAAAATTCTGATACAAAGAATTTAGTTTTAAGATCTATTATCAAGGTCAGGCAGCCATAAGACAGAATATGAACATAAATCACTAGTGAAATTCTCTATTGCATTAAGCATATGGTTTATGAAAGTAGCATTTATTAAGATACAATATGTAAGTGATAAAAGCAAGTCATGCTAAACTAATGGACTTTCCCTCATTGATAACTGCTGGAGGGTACCACGGGCACCACGTGACCTTGTTTAGGCAGAGTCTGGCAAAGCCCCTCCAGGTGTCCTCACAGTAAGGGCGGAAGCACAGCTCTCCTGATACCTCCTGTGCCTCACCTGCCATACTTCACCTTCTCAGGCTAGGTACCCAGCAGATGCCTGAGTGTGTCCTACAGAATCCTCCTGAGGGCAGATCTTGCTGTAAATTTGAATTTAAATCCACACTAGAGAATAAACGCAAAGGGAAAGACCTCAAAAATGTTCTGTTCAGAGATGTTTATAAGAGAACAAAGAACACAATGAAACCTGGAAAAATCCCAAAGGCTCAATAACCAGGATATGACCGTGTTTACATTAAGATAGAATGTCATGCACTCATTAAAAATTGCAAATTGAGACTTCTATATAAACTCAGCAAGATGACCACTGGTATTTGCTTTCTCCCTTTTCTACCCATGCTAATTAAATAATCTAAAGAATAGAAATAGAAAGAAGCAATGAGGAAAGGAAAAAAAGGAGAACAAAAAGAAAAATAGTGACAGGAGTCCTACCAACAGTAGTAATTAGGAAGGGTATTATGATATCAAACTTGCTAAGATTGTCCGCTGGATACTGTGGGGGGCTTTGGGCCAGAGGATGTGTGACAGGGATATGCAGAGCTAAGGGCCTTTTGGAGCCACATTCTTAAAACCTCCCGGAATGCATGTTAGAGATTAAAAGCCCACAGGGCCATGAGTCCAAGCAGGACCAAAACACACTGCCTTAAAGAATGAATGCTCCAGCCCTTTCCTCCCCATACTCCAATGTTTCACTTACATTGGCCCAAAGATCCATCATGTAACAGACCACCCTGACCTTCCCCTGTGCTTCCTGATTCTACTAATAAAAAGCCATGGAATCTTCAGCATGGGGCTGTCTTTAAGAGATTCTCTCACACTGAGGGGTCTCAGTTAAGGGCAGTCCCTCTGGGTCTTCTTGGAGTTTGAACTAGATACTGACTTTGATACTCTCATCCTTTGCACTGTGCCACAGTTGTGAACCACAACAGGATATAACCAGGA